GGCTAAAATATTTTTTGACATGACTAACTGACACTACGTGCTTGTAGAATCAAGATGTAAAATATAACAAGATGCATGTCCGTTCCTGTTTTTACTACTATAAATAAACTATATCCACTTTTTCTAAACATAATGTACTGTTTCTCATGTGTCTGTCAATAGATTTTGAAGTAGCAAATATTAGGGACATTAGAGAGGCTTCTTATTTTCTGAGCTTACACTAAACCCAGTCTTCAAAATATTAATAGCAAAACAGATTAAATAAACTATTCATTCAACTTCCTATGACAGCAGACACTAAAGTCAAACACAGGTATTCCCAAGGTATTATCAAGGTTGCTTACTTCACTTGCAGACAATACTTATCACAATATTACTTTGAAAATAATTTCTAGGAGTAGCAGTCTAAATGAGAACTTGTTAAAACTTTATTCCACCACAGAATCTGTCTGATTTTGTTTTAAAAATAATTTTGTCTTCTGGAGATCATCTTTCTATCTCTAAGACCACAAGGCAGTACTTGGAAGTTCATTCAGATCTGTTAAAAGTGGTGCATTTGAATGTATGACCTACAATTTCCTTCCAAGTGTTGATTACTCTGCTAATATAAGATAAGATTTTAATGTATCATTATAAACTTGCCACGGTTATTCATTCATTTTATCCTTTATCCATCTCTTTTAAATGCCAGAGTGGAACTTTCTATTATCAACTGAGAGATGAATGAGAGTAATTTGGTAAAACCACCACTCTCTCTGAAAAGACACCTGAACATATATTCAATACAATGCTGATGGTAGTTTTGACTGAAAATCCTCAGTTACAGGTACAAGTGCAATATGCTTTGTTTCTTTTACTAGTACTATGATAAAGTGACATCCTGAAAATACGTAAATTTATTCTCATTCATATTGTAAAAGATACTTTTAGGATATATAGTACATGTTTACATACTTAAATCAACACACTGGCAAATGACATAAAATGAAATATCACCAAACTGCTATTTCTTAATTTTCTGCACATTATTCTGACTAATACGGAAATACAGTACTGCATATACGGGAGCAGATATCTTTGATATGGTAACTATAATATAAGTATATGTTTACAGAATGAAAAATTTGACCAAGGCCTCTGCCAAGTGTGTTCAAGTAAGTAAATAACTTCATTAATGATTTTTGTTTCAAAGAGAAATTCATTCTACTATAAAATTTCATGTTTTCCTAACACTATCTTTCTTGCTATTCTGCATTTAGTTACATTATAAAGACATGAAAAATCTGCCATTAGCCATAGTGCTTTTGTATGCCACAGCTGAGTTAGTACAGAGAGACAGCTCTCAATCATTTCAAATTAAGTGAAATATTTCTCATTATAACATCCTAATTTACCTCTTTCATACCTCTCAAAAGATAATACACCAAGCAATGTATTTGCATTTAGAAGCTGTGTACATGGCTAAATAAAAGCAGTTATTCAGTGCTGCACTTAGAAAAGACTATGTGGTTTTCATTTCTGTAGTGCTGGGTTTTTGCCTTGCTAACAAAACACATCCTCTGCTGCATGTTTGATTACCACAACCTAAGAAAGGTTTTAGTAACCCTGATGAAACAAAGCATGCATAAGAATGTTTACACCAGGTGATTGTTTTTCAGTTTCATCTTCCTGGAATATAATGACTTCTACAGTGTGACTAAATTCTTTACAAAGACCAGATTAGTTTTTATCTTATAGTTAAGGAGACCTAAGAGACAACTGCAACGTCATGGAGGAAGGTAGCACTCATAAAGCAAGTGGGGGAATAAAACTTCTAAATCTGCATGTTACACACAGGCAAACCAAATCACCAACACAAAATACTGTGTTGTGCACACATACACACAAATACACAGAGGCATTTTGTGAGCAAATAGCTACTGTACAGTTCAAAACAACACAATACTTGACTTAGATAAATAATACTTGCCCTCCCTCTCTTTAACGTTCTCCCAATTAATGGTTTTCTAAAAAGCTGAAAATAGAAGCTTTAAAAAATTTAATAAATCTAATTAGTATAAGAACTGACATCAATACTATTCTAATTATTGGCAGAAAAATGACTAGCTACTTATTTTGATTTTTCTGGAAAAGCCATTTTTTTACCTGTAAAATATGACTTCCCAAATGTGATTCAAACACTTCAATGGCAAGGGCACTGGGACTTCTCCTGCGCTGGGCACCTATAACTGAATAAAAAACAGTTATGTTGCAAGATCTGCACATTCATTTGTAACGCACCCCTGACCACACCATTTGACATTAACTGTTTATATGTTTCGTATTGCCTATAATGTCTTGCATTATAGTATAGAAAATTTAAGAACACCATTGTTTAGATGTCCAAGAACTCTGGAAATTTATTTTTTATTCAAATATACCCCAAGTCCCTGCAAATTTGTATTTACTTTTTTAAAATGGTGATGACAGCATGCAAGCTTTAGTGCAAAAAACTGTTGAAAAATAGGCTACATGTAATGTAAATTTTTTGAAATGTGGAGATAAGAACTGCGTATTGTGGAGGTATTAAGAAGAATGAGATATTTATCTGAACACATTATTTATCTTATTTGAAAATGAACATTAAAAAAATCAACATTTGTAAACACATCTGAGATATCAAAGTTATTGCTAAGCACAGGGAAGTATTGTAGCAACTCATATCCATGCTAGTTGATGGAATACATTTTTGAAACTTCAGCTTCTACATTTCAATTATATAGTTAAAAAATATATACTGAGTAATAGGCAGTTAAGTTTCAAAGACAGCAGTGACTACAAAAAAGCTTGAGAAACCACACAACTAATATTTTGTTAAACTCTCTATGCCAGGGGCACAAAGCCAGCAGTCAAGTCAGTATAACCAAACACAGGCATCTACTGCAAGCTGAGGTTTCTTCTTAGGTCTTGGCTGTCTTTGCCACATGGCCAGAGAAAGCTAGAGCATGGAGAAGATGGCAAAGGGCTGCAGGAACCTTCACCTCCCTTACAGTCTTAGTGCCAAAGTCAGGCATATCCATAGCAGAGAGAAGAGGTATAGTTCATTCAACACTCTTTTTAAGGTGGGTATGAAAACATTTACATCCAAGGACCCTGATGGTCTAATGCCTCTGGAACTAGTGTGTCTTTACATATGGCTCTCTTTATAATGCATGATAAGAAAAACAAAATACCAAGGACTCTCTAAAACAAGCAGAATGGATGACTGCCATTACTGAAGAGGCTAATTTAACAGCAATGAAAACAAAATACAGAGCAACAATTTCTTAATCTTGCATGGTACTGGCTGCCAAACACGGTATCAGTAAGAAAAGATGAATGCCAAATAATGATAGTCATATTTACCTTAAAATGTAATATCACTCTTTATTGATGCTTCACGTAATTTCCTTGCAGGAAATTCTAAGCTATTTATACTGGGCAAACAGGTGGCTTCATTGCTAATAGATTCAGGCAATAGCTCATAATTACAAATGGTGACTGCTGTAGAGCTAGTATTTTCAAAGTCCTCCTCTTTTCTCTGAAGATATTCAAGGACACCGATGCTTACAACTTTGGAGAAGTCTTCTTCAAGACTTGGGTGTTACATTGAAACTGAAGTTGGTATTAGACCAACCACTGTACTTGGTGTTTGTTTTTTTAACTTTAGTTAATACTGTGACTGACCAGACATCAGCATAATATTACTCTTTTATAAGTGTTTGATAGTCAGTCTTTTATTTTTCTGTATCAGCCTTCTGATTCTAAATAATTTTGCTTCTTTTTGCATTATCTTATCTTTTCTGTAGCTGTAGTGATGCCCACTATAAACAATGGTTATTTCATTAAAATTGCAAGATCACATAAAATTTTCTAGCAACTTAAGACTCCTTTAGCTTTCCTTTTTGCAGACAAACTTAAATATGATCCTTCTCTTGTCCTTACTCTGCCTTCAGATATGCCATCAAATGTTTGCTTAAACTGGCGTTGTACCTATATTTCTTAGATAAACTTTAGCCTTAGTTGTGGGACTAAACATATATAGCACTGCAAAGATTATCAATATTCACATTATGATCGCTATCAGCTTACAGTGTGCTTTGTATGGTCATTTCATTTAAAATCTACAAGAAACAGAAAGACACTGCTTAATTGCAAAAAGAAAAAGACCCAAAAGACCCCACAAAACCTCCCTGAAATCCTTTATGTCATTTCATTCTTCCATCTAGACTGTGTTAAATCTTCCACACATTATTTGAACACATCACCATTTGGAATGTGTCTTCCAATTAATTTTCTGTTTCCTACTCCATATCCTTCCTCTACAATCCCCAGGCATTTTAACGTGTATCCATTACATATTGAATATCACTTCCAGTTCTATGATGTTAATTGCTAATTGCAGTTTTTTTAGCATGTGAGTGTCATAACTTAAATAAAGTGCCATGAAAACAGTACAAGACTGTCTCAGTTTAAGCCTGGGGAGAACCAAATTTCTTTTAAGCAATTTTACTTTTCAGTTAAATCCCCTCTAAGTAACTGTACCTTCTGAAATTAACAGCATTTTTTCAGTCAGTGTCTGCTTCTAGAACTGACAATTCTCAATGTTTTATAGATACTGCTGGAGGATGGTATGCAGAAAGGCTCTTGCCTGTACTTTACTGCTACAGAAATGAAGGTCACTGCTTGGTTCTACTAAACTTCCTGTGTGTTGGAAAGAAAAGAGAGGAAAGGGGTTCACACCTGTTGGGAGGAGTGAACTGGACAGGTGACCCAAAATTGACCAAATTTTTCCATCCCTTAAGCATAATACTCAGTACAAATCTGAGGGAACACAAGGGTCAAGTTCTTGTTTGTCCATGGTCAGTGTCCTAGGAGTACTCTGTCCATTCTTCTGCTTTTGGTCCTGATTCGTGCACTCCCAAATCTGTGTATTCCTGAATCCAGCTCCTGTCTGCCGTCAAGTTCAAGAGTCCATTCCATTCCAGGACTTTCCTAGGACCTTTTCTGAAGCATTGGTGCTGATGTGGGCATTATTGATAGATAGGAAGTGCTATTGATTTTGTATATATTTGTAAACATTTCATTGTTTTCTTTTTTTCATCATTGTTTCATTTAAGTTACTTAGTTCAGTTTGCAACCCATACATCTCTCTCCCTTATTTTCTTTTATTTCTCTTTCTGGAAAGGAAGAAGGGTTCATATAGAGCATCTGTAATTTGTTTAATAGCTAGCCCAATGTTAAACCTTGACACTTTTAAAAACAGTATCTGTAACTTCACATTATATTTACAGGTAAGTCACCAATCCCTCATACTTGGGACACTCTCAGTTTGATAGCTCCAATGAAAACTCTTCAAGGTCAGTGAGTCAACTAAAAAACATGAGAGGGATGAATCTTAGCTTTAAATTTGTCAATTAAATCCTCTATTGATGCCTGCATCCTAGTGGCTGATATGCATGTGGACAAATATAATACTTTCATGCCATTCAGTTCATTGACATTTCTATTGCAGTAGAACTCTTTGATTTATGTCTTGCACTTACTCAGGTGATGTGGGGTTGTAATGACAGTTATTAATTTTACAACCAGCATAAATAGGTTAAACAGAAAACCATTATGCTTCTGTTAGCCATACTGTGACTCTTTTTTGGTAACTGAATGGATGTTAAATATAAACTTTCTGTCCTTTATTCATTTTCCTATCATTCTTCACATTTTGAGGAACGATACAAGAATATAGAGATAGATCTAGAATAAGGGGGAAAAAAAAAACACCTTTTAAAACTTAATCTTTTGACTTCATTGCATTATTATTTTACTTAATTGATCTTTCAAGTTTTCTTGATGCCAATTTCCATGAGGAGAAATATACTATTTGGGGTATACAAGTGCATACCATATTGATTCCTTTTAAAAACACAGCAATCTCACAGTTCAGACACAGCAAAAAGCCTCTTATTTGTACTGAATGAATTGTTGGCATGGAAGACAGAAACGGTTGGATTAAAAAGCAGGCCACAAGATTATTTTATTCTAAAGTTTCAAAACATGAACTTTAAATACTAAATTGGCTTCCATCACACAAGCAACAGCCAGTCATTTCTACATCTCTCATCCTTTGGATGGACCCATCATCAGCCACAACTCAGTTGCTCACAGAAATGTTGGAAAGCATGGGATCTGGGATTTATCTCACAACATCTGTAAATCAAAGTAGCTCAACAACCTTCGCAGATCTAAATATCTGCATGCACATCTTTTATAAAAACGTGGATTTACTTTTAAATGCAGAGTCTACAGAAACAAAGTACTGCAGGCACAGTTAACTTCTTTTGAATAAAACAAAGTAGGGGAAATTAGGAAGTGGAGAAGGCTGAAGCATGTGTACCAAACTGCAACAGAAGTCACAAAAAAAACAAGTTCACACCCAGGTTACATCCTTCTTCCAAGCTTCTCCTGTTCCAGTGATATAAACAAATTTCTCTAAATTGGCTTTTTCTCATGTGCTTAGATTTTGTACTGTCTACATTAAATTGACTAAGTTTAAGGTTTGAATGCACAATTGTAATTGTTGTGGTTAATCAAAGTTGACTGAACCAATATTAGCATTAAATATTGACTAAATAGTGACAAGAAGATAGAAAGATTGTTTTCACACACACACTTTGTACTGCTGGAGCAGAGGAATCTGTCTACTAAAATCTTTTCCTTTCTATGGCATTGTACCATGACTTTTACGATGCAGATTGACCCATCTATTCCTGGCATAGGATTATTCCATAACAAGCTATTAACAACTGCTAACTGCTCACTAATTCCTCTTTAAATTTCCTCCCTCAATGAGTAATCTGGCTATGCATGAGGTAAAGGAAGAACCACATCCCTTTCAGTATGTCTTGGGGGCAGTCTAAGCATGCTTAATGAAACCTGAAGAGCATTCACAGTTGTGCTAGGAAAAGTAGGAAAATATGGAAAAGAAAAATGTAAACTGCTTAAAAAAGATTTCCATGCATACTGAGGAGAGGTTTTCCTCTTAAACTCACTTTTAAGCTGCTGGAGCACAAAATGACCAAAGAGTGATGTTCACTGGGACTTTCTGCTAGTGAAGACAGAGTTCTCATTAAGCAGAAGCAGTACTCCTTGATCACTAGGACTGAAAGCACATGTCACCTGCACAATAATAATTTCCCCCTACAATACT